AGAAACTTTTTGTTTGGTATTAAATTATCTTTCAAATGAGATCAAAAATATTGTAGTTCGCTCCATAGGTTTTGGAATAACCGTCAATAGCCGAAAAACACTTTTCGGTACATTGGAAATTGGTTATAAACTGGTTTATTCCAAAACCTATGGAGCGAACTACAATCATTTTAATCTCATTTGAAAGAACAAAAAGTACTGAAACAAAAGTTGTAGAGCATAAAATTATTTCTCGAATGAGATCAAAGTTATTGTATAACAAATGTTATTGTATATTCATTTATATAATACAAAATATGCAATATCTTTAATGCAATAGGTATATATTACATCTCATAAAGTCTTTTGAAATAATAAAATCATAACTCAGTAGTCTTGCTAAATAAAATATAATTTGAGTCTCTGACTTACGTAAGTCATTTTTAATTTTTTAATCTAACGATACTTTTATCGGTACATTCTTTTTAGTGAGTGCTGATGTGTTTATATATTTTAACAAGTGTTAAAATAGTTCTTCTTTTATAAAACGCGTCTTCGCACATTTATAATAGTGACTCTCGCAAACTTCGGACTTTCGACGCCACTGTGACAGTGACATGCGTGAATTCACCGATAACTCCATATAGCGACGCAGCTGCGATATTTGCATAAAACGTATCGAGAAAAGACGCATACTTTCCTTGATATTTGTAAACATGTAAAAAATAACCGTGATTTCAGAGATCAAAGTTATTGTATATTCATTTATATAATACAAAATGTGCAATATCTTTAATGCAATAGGTATATATTACATCTCATAAAATCTTTTGAAATAATAAAATCATAACTCAGTAGTCTTGCTAAATAAAATATAATTTGAGTCTCTGACTTACGTAAGTCATTTTTAATTTTTTAATCTAACGATACTTTTATCGGTACATTCTTTTTAGTGAGTGCTGATGTGTTTATATATTTTAACAAGTGTTAAAATAGTTCTTCTTTTATAAAACGCGTCTTCGCACATTTATAATAGTGACTCTCGCAAACTTCGGACTTTCGACGCCACTGTGACAGTGACATGCGTGAATTCACCGATAACTCCATATAGCGACGCAGCTGCGATATTTGCATAAAACGTATCGAGGCACATGCACCAGAGCGCAGTAGCATTTATCGTTTCGGTGTGTATGCGAGCGGTGGACGAAACACGACGAACGTTTTTGCCGGGTTAGGCGTTGCGCACCACCAATCCTGAATTTCGCGCACGGCTTTCGTGCCATTAATTCGAGATTTTGGCGGCGATTAGCAGCAGTTCCGACCCGCCCGATATGTTTCTCTTCTGTCCCTCGCGTGATGCAACATTCTGCCAGTCGCGCAGACAAACCCCCCTGTGCAACAACGCGAAGAAGTATCGCGTTCATGTATAAATAAGCTCGTTCTCCGTTTTAGGTGTAATTAAAGTTGTTGGTAATCGTCTAGTTGTTTCTGCATTTGTAGCTATTCATATTACATGTAGTTGTTATCATCTGTCGTAACTTATTACTTAGTATAATTCAATTATTTTCTTCTCGATAATTCAAGTCAATTTAGTAATGCGATACAACTGAATTAATGTAAAAGAAAATGATTCTACAAATTTTAAGATTCTAGAAACTTTTCCGGGGAAAGTTCTTTTATTTTTTAATAAAATGTAGAATCTTTTAAAATTTGAATATTTTCATTATTCCCTGTTAAGAACGATTTAATTGTAATATAATCGTGGATAGAATTGAAATTTGAAGAAAATACTCCTCTCATCAATTTCCTAAAATTACATCACCATTGTATTGTAAAATACAATTAACGGAATGGGTTTCTAAATATAACGCGAAATATTACATTTAGGCAAAATAATGGAGAGTGAAGCAGAACTAATTTGGAATATATAAACCGTTTCATCTCTGATATAAAAGTTATTCAATTTGAGAGGAATGAAAATTCGCGTTTATAGTCGAATTTAGTGACTGTATTAAACAATATTTTATTACACTTTGTAAAACATATTTCCAGAGCGATATTAAAAAAAATACATATTAAAGAAAATAAGGCAAACATGTTGAAAAAAAAAAAAAAAATACAGAACGTTTTAATTATACAAGTTTAAATATAATAAAATGCACGCATTCTACATAAATTATTCATTTAAATCTGAGAATATTAATTTGTCATATTTTCAAAATTTTTGACTCCGTTATTATTAATATCAATATAATAATTCTTGTTTATATTATTATGTAATATAATCTGCTTGACTGATATTTGCTTGCTTGCTAGCGATCTAATTACCGTATCGATTGTTTCAGAGGATTATAATTACGCAGATGTAGAGTTCGGATACAGGTTATATTTTTTTGTCTGGTCATAATTATCTTCTCACGCTCGATTGAAATTCATAATTAAACTGTTAGATATACACTTGACATAACTTGTTGCCCTACTGCTTTGCGTTGAAGATTAATTGAAGATCTTGATAGATTAATTACTTTATTATTCATTTTTTATATGATGTAAAAGATATAAAAAATTGTTTCAATTTTGCTATCAACTATTTTCCACTTTTTAAATAGTTTTACATCTTAATCATCTACAACAGCGCAATAGCTATATATTATATTTACGATACTTATACTTACAATTTATTATCATTCACACATGCCTTCTTTTCAGGGAATTAAAAATTATTTGTTAATATTTCAATCTCTATAATAGACATTTTATAAAATATTTATAGCAACATAATAAAAATTTATACTTAACAAAATAATGAATTGGATCTCAGCACAATGAATTATGCTTTGTTGGTACAAACATAATTAACGTCCTTGCATAGCTATATAGTCCTCTTCGAAGAGACGGAATAATAAGCGGGAGCGATTCTCTCGGGTGACGTATTTCATAGTTAGTACGTCACGATAAGAAACAATGAAATACGACGGCTGATCATAAAATACGAGAATCCTTTGTCGCATCTCTTGCGAAGATTCATGATTGTAATACGCGATACGTCGGAATTATTTCCAGGGGGAATTAATTAAAGAGCTAAATAAATACACAATTAGTATCGTGGAGATCAATATATTAATTGTAGTAAGACAAATTTTATCAAAATAACAGCAGACTAAGCGATTTTTTTAAATAATCTAAAAATCTATACGCCAAATGTGCCATATTTACGGCGGCTTACAACTCGCTTATATAATGTCACATAGAATCTTGATACACATAAATTGCAGAGTAATATACCTTATGAATACCTTATTAAA